ATTCCAATCTAATCTTACGCGGCGGCGGCGTGTTTGTAACGCTAACTGGATCTGTATCACTCCTCAGAGATTTTATCTGACTCGGCCTTCCATTCGAAGAGAGAGCAGCCAGGACTCAGTTACTCCATGTCAAATGTGAACTTTTCCCCCACAAGCGTCCGTTTTCTTCCATGTAGAAGTGTGTTTGTTTGGAGTCAGTTTTACGGGTGTTTTTATAGAATTAAAAGAACTCTTTGTCTTTCTGTATTCAACATAAACATCAAGGTTGTTCAGAGAAAAATCAGCTCATTAGAATTTGTTCTTATCAAACAAAACACTGAGAGGCAATTATGGAACACGGCATCAGAATCTGGACCTAATTTCAACAGATAAGCCATTTTTATGCAGTTCTTAGGAGGAGAAAAAGGCAAGATAATAGTTATTAATCTTTTTTTAGGGGGTGGGGTGGCAGATCTGCACAATCTTGACATATTTGTTTACCAGAAACACGCTGTGATTAATTGCGGGCCGCCTCGCAAAGAGTTTAATGAGTCCTCTGATGGGGGGAAAAAATTAGCAATGCTCCGCAGGAGACATCAGTCTTTTAACTCCCACGCGTTGCCAGAAATTTAGTAATTATTGTAATAATCGATTTGAAATGGTTTAATGTTTCCAAATCAGATGCTGTTTATATTCGTTACAGACGGAGAGGGAAGGCCAGGAAGACGACGAGGCACCGAGAGGGAAGTCACACGGATCAGATCTCCGCTAACCAGCGGCTTCGTCTGCCTCCTTCCCTCACAGAGACTTGGGAGTAATTCCGGTTTCAGGTAAAATCCAAGGCCGTCACTATAGTGACGGAGTGCAGCTCTAGGTTTTCATCAGCCATGTCAGCTAATGAGACCACTCACAAAGTAATTAGTCTGTTGTTTCTCAGCGCTCCCCAGCACAGCGTCACTCTGCTCCTACTGGCATCATAGCCTCCATTAGACAGACTGTGGAAGTGTGAAAAGATGCAAATGTTTTAAGGTATAATGTCGGCGAGGTTACAGTCGTGACCCCGCGCTACAACTTGATGTAGGCATTTGAACACGTGGGAAGGTAATATCGATTTTAATCCACAGTGAAACGGATCCAGTGATTTTAACAAATAAAGAGAATGGAGAATAAAAAAACCTTTAAGACAGCTGCTAATGAGTCTGGAAAGGGCTTTAAAGGGGTCTCAAAAGGACAATAAGAACAAGTCGCTCTGTCTAAGCAGGTTCAACCTGAGAGCAGGGAGCTACAAGTAGTCTGCACATCTAAAATGTCTCAGAAAAATGTGAAGGCCAGGCTGAGGATGTAGACAAAGACCAGGAATAATGTTCATTTGACAGTAATAATAATAATAATGATATTGGTCTGAGAGAGAGATGAGTCTATAACTGGATTATTTTAACACCAGAACAGAGGGAATTTTATTTCATTTTATTTTTTTGCAAAGATCAATCAGCCATGAATTAAGAGGGAGCCTCAAGAAAACGTGAATTTCTTTAAAAAAAAAAAAAAAAAAGACCAAAGCTGCAGCAGAGCTGGATCAAACGCTCTGTGGATAAGAATCGAAAAGTCAGTGGTCCTGTCAAAGCCCAGGTACTGACCTCAAGCATTAAGTATTGATCTCATACATTTCTGCATTGAAAAATATTAATTCATAAAAGTGTTTCTTCTGCTTCAAATGTGTTTTTGTTATGAATTTGTATTGCTTTTTTTCCATGTTAGTTTCTAAAATACCAACATTTACTTCTAATTTGATATTTTCAGTCTGTCTGATTGTAATCATTTTTAAACATTAAATCAGACGTAACAATCCGTTACTCAGTACTCAAGTAGCTTTTTCACCAGATACTTTTTTTAACCCTTCTTTCCTTCCTTCAGTGACGTCTTGGCTTCTTTTTACTTTTACTTGAGTAAAAGTTGCGCTACTCTCTTTCGTGATGTACGCATATTTTCCTTAAAAGGTAAAAACCAGGTTGATTTATGTTGTTTGAGTGCAACGGTAATCACTTTTGTTTTCCAGAGGCATATAAAATAAGTTTCAACTTCAGTTAGCTAATTCATCTTTAGTGAAGGAATGAATGTTTCTTGCAGTGTCCTATTTTTTCCCCATATGACTGTATTATTTACAACTCAAAACTAGATTTACTTGTGCAGGTCCAGAGGCCCGTGCAGCAGCAGTGAGTTGCGTTTGATAAAGCTTTAGGACCAAAAGGTGAGCCCATCAGTTGCAGGGAGGAATATTTGTTCCAGTGTCTCATTTCCTGAGCATTTTCAGATAAACCCACCACCCTGTAAGATCCGCTTCTCTCGGTCTGATGATAGCCTCGTACGTCTCTGCTGAGAAATAAACCAAGTCCAAAATTTCCCCTGACATCCCGGAGAAGCCGAGCTTGGTATGTGTTTCATTTTTCTCTTGCTTTCATCACTGCTTTCCCATTATCTAGCCACACACAATCCGCTTTCCGTGTGTGTGTGTGTGAGTGTGTGTGTGGCTCTGGCGTCAAATGAAAGTTTTATTGTTTTTTTTTTTTTTTACCTGCAGGTTGCCTGGCGTGGGGGCGAGGTTGCGGATGATGAACCTGGATGGAGACGCAGCCGGAGCGTGTGAGAGGTTTACCGGGGTCGCCTGAGTCAGCGGTTTCATTTGCACAGAGAACAACATGCAGATTTAGCGAATCAAAAACAAGAGATTCATTTTTCAGCCACCTGGAAGAAAACGGCTCCAAGTTCATCTGTGTCCTGTTCTGATCTAAGCGGATGTGATCATGAAAGCCAGCAGCAAAGGGGAACTTCAAACAAATCCTGGAAAATTAGAAAAATGCCTGCTTTTCATTTACATTGTTCACATTAAAGTTTCAGCTGAGGGTAGATTTTGTTTGTTGATTTATTTTTTTCAAATCTAAGTTTCTAAGTTTCAGATCATCAAGCTGATTTTTTTTTTAATGACTGGGGGAAAAAAGTTTTTTTTGTTGTTTTTTTTTTCTTTTTTTACCAGCTAATTCCTGGTAAAGTCAAATATCAGCCAAATCTGGTCACCACATTTCTCCATATTTCTGATTAAATCCATATCTTCCTGGAAGATCAAGTGTACTCCAGTGCAAAACAAATTACTGAATGCTTACAGACCTCTCCTGTTTTTGTTATAGACAGACAGATATAGAAAAGTTATATAATGCTTTTTTTTGTGAATTAAAAAATAAACAACCGGCACAGCCCTATATGTGGAAACACATTTGGCTGCTAAAGGCCATGATTGCCTCTCAGCTCTTCTTGGTCAGAAGTGGTTTTCACCTCGGCTCTCCCATGGATGCAGTTTTTTTCCCCCACTCTCTTTGTCGCCGTTCAATCATGAACTCTGACCTTAACTGAGGCCTGCAGTGAGTAATTTTGGTCGATCCGCCAGTCCTGGGAAAGTTCCCCGCTGCTCCATGTTTTCTTCATTTGTGGATAATGGTTCTCTGTGGTTCACTGCAGTCCCAGGAAACTGTCATTTTCCTTTATAATCTTGTATTGCTGGTTCATGAATTTTATTCTTTTTTTGTTTTTGGCCTTCTTCAGTTCCCATTTTAACTTGTCAGTCAACAGAATATTTTCCCAGGAGAGAGGACTGGAAACCCGAGTGAGGCCTTCCTGTTTGTTTGCTCCCGCTGTGGTTTTTCAGAGTTAGAAATGTGTTGATCTTACGAGGCAGGCAGCAAAGACATCTGAAAAGAGCTCTACATCCCCCAGAAAAGGCATTTTCATTGGCTACACTAAAAAAAGTGAGAGGATGTGATTTAATCAGAGATGCTCAGAGACTTTGGCTGGCGGCCGAATCTTTCCCCGTGATTGGACTAGACTCTATGGGAGCCGATTTAATCATGTTTTTGTATACATGCTTGTATTTATTAAAAGTAGTCATATTTTTTTCCTTAAAGAAAGATCCAGCATATTATAACCTACTTACTTTCACCTTACCTCTCTTGAAAGAAAACAAGAGTAGAACTAAAACTTAACTCTGTTTCTCCGGTTTTGGTAAATGATTAGTAGATTTTTTTGCGAGAAAATAGTTTTATCGAAAAACGTCCTTTGCCTCATTATCCCTTGAATAAAGGATAAATACAATTTATACCTTAAATTGGCGAAGAGATGAATTGTTTTTGTATTTATTAGTACAGGTTAATAAATGCCAAGATGCGTATTTGCTTTACACGTTAGATGTCACCAGATTCTTTGTCTATTTTCATGTTACTGTATCATTTGCATTGCAGAACAGATAAAGCTGTAAAGCGATTAAAAAGATAAAAGCAGCTCAAAGGGCAATTTTATTAGTAGATCAGCTTAAAAACTCAACGTTTCAGCGTTTATCAAAAAAGGATTTCCTGCTGATCTCTCAACGCTCATTTCTGTCTCAGTTCTTGCTCTGCGCCGTAGAGAACAGCATTTCATCTGTATGTTTTCAAGGTATTAGTTGCTTTTTGCTGGTGAGCTACGCCTGTAAGATACAGCGATTTCCTGATGTGCATTTGCAGGGCTGATCAAAGCAACACTTCTAATTGGTCGTAAATGATGCAACCGGTGATTTACGGCCGCTGAGCGACGGATTTACCGTTTGGATTAAAGCGAAACCTGCAAGGCGTCTTAAGCAGAGGCTCACTTCTGAGTCAAAACCCTTGGATTTACACAAAACATATAAAATATGCTTTTAACCTGTGGTCTAAAAAGTCGTGATCTCTATATATGTCCCACGACTAAAGAGGAGTAATGAAAGGCAGACCTAAAAAGGGGAATAGTCCTGTAGTCTAGAAAGAAAAGCGCCTGAAGGACAAGCTCCTTCCCTATCCACTGAAGGGTCATTACTACACAAAAAGAGAGAGGTTGTGGAGAGGTCAGGTGGGACTGAAGGACCAATGAGATGCAGACCTGTGGAGCTATGGGCGTGGGTCATAACTCTGACTTTCTATTTTGATTTTATTTCTATTAACATTTCTGTCAAAATGCCTGCATGAGCCTGAAGGCTATTTTTCACCCTCAGTCACTAGACGGATGATAAAAGTCACCCTGTCCCACCATCTTTCGATGTTTTCAGTGATTGTGTTTTACATTAGATAATTCGCCTTTACAGTTTCACACATCCATTATTTTTATTTACAGCGAATAAAGAATTAATTGAAAGAAAATTTGAGGACTCAAAGGCATATTGAGAGGCAATCAGATAATAAGCAGGACAAAACATTCCTCGTGTTTTCAATCCCGTCTCTTTGCTCCCGACATGTTTGGATCAACCAGGTCAGCATCCTCCTAAATACTGACCGCTGGTGGTAAAGTTTTACATTCCAGGAATGCCTTTGCTGCACCACAGTGATCCAGAGATTGAAGGAAATATTTGCTACAAACAAAAAAAAAAAAAGCTGAACAAGAATAGTTAGTCTGAAGGAGTTTTCACACCTGACAGATCAGTTCACTCGGTTCGATTCGGGACCAAAGTTGCAACATTTTCAGTTGGTGCGAATCGTTTACCCCCTCACCTGTGGCGGCGCTGCACCGAGACCCGCTGAAGTAAAGAAAACTCAAAAACTCCTGAAGGAGACGCCGAGCGCAACTTCCTTCGTCACGGTGAGGCCAGCGATGCTGATTGGTTTAGAGACATGATGAAGAGAGAGGAGGAAGAGCTGGAGACGCCTCGGCAAACGACCCGGACTAAACAGGGCTGGAGTGAAGGAATCATGAAAAAAAATAATAATAATAATTAAAAAAAACAGGAGGAACAAGAACAGCAAGGAGTGATCCAATTAGGACTCACAGGTCTAGATGAAGACTTTTATTCTGGACTTTTTTTTATAGTCTAGTCTGGATTTTGTTACTTTCTACCTCCATGGACAATTCAATTAATCTGTCAGGTTCCAGAGCACAGACAGCCCAACAAATACAAAGAAAGCGGCTTTCTATTACAGTTTTTCTCAGAGATGAACTTGTGAAGGTTTGCTCTCTGAATGTGGCGGCTGATCAATTCCATTTCAAATACCATCTCCTGTCAAGCCTCAAGAAGGGGACTTGCTATAACAATTTGCACAAAGTCCTTTCATCCTGTGACGGGATGCTTTCTGTCTTCAACCTTGAACTTGAAGCCGCCTTTGCACACTCGGTGGATTAGTCGTCATTCATGAGCGTAATGACTCACCATCCGCTGCTCCTCCAGGCTCCATCAAAGGTCGTCCCTTCGACGGTGTCACCCTCACGCAGCAGAATACGAAGGCCGGCTGCGTTCACCGGTGCCTTTGAAGCGATACGGTAATGCATTTTGTCATTTGCTGCACGTGCTCCAGACGGGCGCCACGTCTTGCTCAAGGACACGTTTAGAGATACTATTTCACCCCAAGTGTGAGCCGACGACAGCTAAAGTTCATCTTTGCATTTGGTAGAGTGAAACAGAAATGTGCTCTTCAGTCCAGTGAAAGAAAGATGACACATTACTGGGCATAAAAGCTGTTAAACAGGACCGATGACTGATCGGGCTGATGGGAGAGCAGCTGCTGCATTCAAGCTTTTATTTTGAAAAGCACTTTGAAGTAGCATTTCATTTACATTCTCTGCTACATGGACTTTTAAGATATTGCCCATGTAGGAAGCGTACATCCAGGATAATTATTTAGGGCTAGGTATTTTATATTTTTAAAAAGCTGTCCCTTTGTGAGACGATTAATAATGGGAAATTTAAGCAGACCTTTGTGAGGGAAGGAAGTAACCAGGTTGCTGCTTGATTAACTGATTATTAGTAGAGATCAACAAAGAAGGAATTACATTAGTTTGGTTTAATCAGCAGTGACCTTGAACTTTGGGAGAATTTTTGTTCTTGAGTGGAAAACCTTTGAGGCTGCTAATCCCAGGAGGAAAATACTCAAATCCTGAAATTACAAAGCACTGAAAAATTGAAATAAATAAATAAATAAATAAATAAATAAATAAAATTTAGAAATCAAGGGCTCCATCCCTGACACAATCCTCAATGCATGTTGGATGTCAAAGTTCATACATTTGCAATTGGGAAATGACTGACAAAATCTGACTAGTTTTGCTGGATTGGACATGGGAAGGGGGACAACCTCTTGTCTCATAAAAAATCACTACATTTGGTAGGTGTACAAAGTTTGTAGGTTTATGGATGGAATATCTTTAATAAAACAATATCTCACAGGTCTACGTAAAGGCAATAGAATGGCAGGGAAACCAGATCACAAAGAAAAAACAGAGCCATATACTGAGGATTGAACGCAGGTGAGGACATTAGCTGATTGTGAACAGCTGTGGAAGGGAACAGGCAGGCTGAGGGAAGGTGAATAATAAACAGAGGCTGAACTAGAACTCATTGGGGGAAAGATGAACACCAATACAAGAAAACATAATGAACTAACAGAGGAATAATACTACTAAATACAAAGACAAAAACGGACACAGAAAGACCTTTAAAAGTTAGTGAAGTGAACATGGCAAGACCTGTTGAGCGACAATAAGAACACAAACTTGAGCGAGTGCAACGCCCTGGCATCGTTGTTTAACAATGTGCATCAGAAGTAGAGCCATCAGATGTAACTTATAGCACATCGTCAAACCCTTCGGTAACTTTCGAGCACGGTGGTGGAAGCATGGTGATGTGGGCTTCCTCTGCAACACTTTGCTGTCAGTAAGTCAGCCATGATTCACCGACAGCAAGGTCAAAAAGTCCACATAACAGCATATATTTGAATAAAAAGGCACACTTTTGAAAATACATGCGGGGGGGAGTCAACAAGACGTAGCACTTTTTGAAACCTCATATTTATTGCTACGGTGACTCAGTTCGCCTTCAGTGAGCCGACGTTCCACCTGTGAGCTTTAACGACGGGTTTCTTGTCCCAGAGAAACCCTTCTGGAGACACACTGGGTCGACAGCTATCTGCCTGGCTGCCTTCACTCCCAAATCCCACAATTAGCTCATCTCTCCCACTGTCTCTGTCTCTCTCTGCCTTCTGTGCTCTACTAGGAGGCAGCCAGAGGAGTCTGTGTTGTATTTCTTTGTATTGTCGCATGAGAAACACAAACATTTTCCTCACTTGGACCGGTTCAGCTCAGTTGATTCTTTTCGTTTCTCCCAACCTTTGGAATATTTTGTCTGATTCCGGCATCAATCACTCGCTGGTTGTTTAGTTTGGGCATCGCCCATGGATCGATTACCTTTCAGGAGTTCAATGAAATGACAGGAGGCCAAGCTAATTTGTGAGGTGATAAATGGCGAGCTAAGTGACGACAATCTACTGGGAGGCAAATAATCACGGCGACACCCAGTGAGTTATTTCTGGCTGTGTTAAGTACAAGAAAAGACACATTTAGCTTTTGTGCAAATGTCTAAAGGCAGAAGGAGAACCAAATGAAAGCGCAAATTTACAGTTGCAGGGCTTAATTTGTAACGACAGTGATCTGAACCCAAGTGAAACAATGTCACTGGAACTACTTTTGTATTTCAATTCATGGTGTAAAATTAAGGAGCAAGTCAAACGAGGAGCTAAACCAAAGTCAAAATTAAATACGATTTAAAAGCAAATATAAGGAGATAATTTTTCACAAGATATAGAAATGTGGATGACAGATAGCACTAATGTGTGTATATGTAAATTGAGGCTAACGCATATGAGTGTGTGTGGGTATGGATGTAGACATGTAAACCCAGATAAGATGGAAAATGAATTAACCTACTTTATTATTATTATTATTATTATTATTATTATTTGTTAATGAGGGTCCACCTGAAAATATGGGATGAGTTTATGGGGTAGGAGTTCATAAGTTTCTTACTTCCTCCCGCTCCTTTTCAGTCATGTTAAGATTATTGTGGTACAACAATATGTGTCTGTTGCATTTCTTGTTCATGTGTGTGACTTTACACTGCCATCGTGTTCAAAATGAATAAATACATCACAAACTATTGTAGTGCATGAAAGTGACTTCTTGTTGCAGCAATTTGAAATGATCAATGAAGACGGATGGCAGTCTCCGCCACGTTTGCGTGTAAATACAGAGGTGATGCGTCTGAAGGTAAAACGCAACACTTTCTAGTTGTTGTTTTTTATTATTCATACATTTCGTCTAAAATGCATCAACTCCACCGTTTTCAAAAGTATATCCATCCACGTGAATCGAAACGATGTCTCGATTCAAAGTATTCGTCGATGATGCGCACCGCGCCTGTGGAAGTGTTAGTGGGCAGGTCGTCAGGCGCGTTAGAGACAAATGAAATAGATTAGAGATGAGTTTCCTCCCCTGGACGCGCCGTGCCTCCGATCTGCTTCTCCTCCACGATAAGAATCTGGAGATAGTGCAACAAAAGAGAGCGGGCTTTCAATTCCGAAACCTATCTTCTGATGAGGGTTCCTGTTGGAACCGAGCTTACATCCTGTTAATGGACACGCTTTCAGGCCGTCTCATCTATTGACCCGCAGCCTCTCGGTCTGCTCATCAGGCTAAGTGTACTGTTAAGAGGGGAGAGCTCGCTTGTCAAGCCCGCAGAAGAAAACCCGGTTCTGTTTGTTGCCGTTTTCTCTTGGACAAATGTAACAGATCCGAGGCCGGGCTTAGTAAAACACATCTCGTTTTACGGGAACTAAAGTTTATTAAAGACAGAAAGTTGTGATGCAAACGCAGAATGTTTATTGTGAACGTTGAATTTTTTTATTGTTTTATTTTGTATGCATCTTCTTAATAATTTCTCATTACAGTCGTGACATGCAGGGATGGTGCTGATTGTTCTGAATGTGATTGCCAGGTTCTTTCATTCAAAAATTTGTATTAAACCAAATGTGGTTAAATGATTTAATTTATTTGATTATTTTTGACATATCTGCTTCTAAACTTTATTAATTAACCTTTAATTTGTGCCTCATACCAGACGGATTTTTCCCCCACAATCTTTCCATATGTTGAGTTTGATTTTTGTTTTTTTCGAGCAGATTGCAACTTCTGTTACTGAAAATAACTAACTCTGTGTAACACTAATTTCCACAACAAATTAACTTGGCAGGAGCACAGAAACAGGAAATTATCATTGGCTTTACATAAATAAAAATGCAATAATTGCAAGCTTCAACAGCGAACCGGAGTTCATTCTTGTGCAATTCCTCTCTTATAATTACATCCAAAAGCTCAGTAGAAAAGGGAAATCTTGGGTGATTAAATCCTAAATGGCGATAGACTTTCCCATTAGTGTGCAAAAAGAGGCAGAACCAGTGCAGAACACTGCAGTCAATGGTTCTTCATTACAGCATGCAGAAATGTGATATTAGCACACTGCATATTAACGTATAAACATTATCCGTTCATTCCACCAACAAACAGATCGTGGATGGGGTTTTTGTTTTTTTTGCCTTGTGAATCCAATTAATGCTTTTAATTAAAGACTGTTTGTTTCTTTGTTTGGCGTTTTTTCTTAGGCTGCTGAATCCTGGAACATTTTAATCCAATAACGCTAAAATTTCTAAGCGAAAGAGAAAAGCTTTTTCCTGCAGACAACGCAACGAGGAACACGATTCGAAAGAGCTCAAACGAAAAGCCCTTCTTCGAAAACACCTTAACGACGTCAAATCTCCACATGCAAGATGTTTTGTACCGTTGCGAGTTATTTGTCTTTCATCAAACCTGTTTTTCTTCTACTTACCACAGCTCAACCTGTGAAAGCTGAGTTCGGTTTCTGTGTAGCGACACACAGGGTTGGCAGAAATGTAGCAATTGAATCATAACATAACTTCAGCATAACCTGTTTGACAGCCTGAAGTCAGCTAAAATGAGTCAAAAAGCGACACACTGAAAGAAATTCAAGACCCGATGGCTGAAAATCTTGAATTTAAACCAGTTTCGTCCTCTGAATTGTGATAACTTGTAAAGGATCCATAGTAAACTACCGAATTTATGTTTTGTCCCTTGTTTTATCATTCACAAGTCATTTAAGCTACTTTTAATCAGTTGTAATCTGTTTTTTTTTTTTTTTTACTCGTGGAACTGGATCATTTGGCCTCATCCATAAAGAATGAAGACCATTATAGTCCATCTTCCTCTGCTCTTTAATGTGCAGTATTTCATAATAGATGATGCAATTATTAAGCAATATGAAAGTTTTATGATGGCAAACACTCGAAGAATAAGTTTGGGCTACATTATAAACCTCTGCTCTCTTAGGACAACAACAGACATTTCAAATTCTTGTAAAACTCTCGATTGCTCATAAATTCATGCAAGTTGCTCGCAGCGTCTACATTAAACAGAAAAGCTCCAGGAGCCTCGCAAGATCGACCAACTCCCCAACCGCCTCGAGTTTTTCATTTTCAGACCATCTCGGTACCCATCCGAAGAAATATTCGAGTGACGCGTCTGGAGGACATTCGTCAGATTGTCACGCCGTCCCTCAAGAGACAGAAAAACTTTCCCAAAGTTTAATGTTAGACTTTGATGCTAAAAAGGTTCGGTTTGTCTCCGCCGGTCCCAAAAGGTTCACAGAGTTCTGCATTTCAAGTCAGAATCTCGCGACAGACACATTCGTCTGCTTTAAATATGAAACGACATATGGATTTTATGTAACTTTTTTTTCTTCTTGCATCAATTGAAATGTTGTTTGGACAAAACAGAAAAACCTTTCTGCAGCAAGACTTCGTTTCGGCGTTCCTCAGGGATCTCTTTCGGGATAATTGGAAATTGTTTTGCGTATGTTGCATTTCATACAATGGTTTATCTGCCAGCACAGGACTGTCTAAATCTCAAAGACATTCAATAGACAGAGAGGAATATTGACTTCTTCAGGTTGCTGCGTTGTCAGGAACCTGCATGCGATTTTTGGCAGCTCGCTTAAAGTTGGACAAACTCATAAAAAAATCAAAGTGTTTTCAACAAGCAGTCGCTGACGAGGTGAATCCTTGCCTCATTTTAAATGCTGTAAAATAGTATTTATGCTTTCACACTAAAAGTTGCAATGTCTGTGTTGGCCAGCTAATTCAAAAGGTACTTTTAATCTGACAAAAAAGATTGGATCGCATTTTCTAACTTATTTGAAATGACAAATTGAGTAATAATTTCAATTTATAGCATCTTAAAGATTTTCAACATCAGCAGCATATCCTAATTTATTAAATATGACCGAACTTCAGAGGTGTGACAGAAGTTGCCGTTTCATGAAATTTGTTTCCATTCTTCTCAGTGTAACATGTTCCTCCATGTGTCAACAGGATGTTGTGAGATAGGAATCAGTCCAGCAGCAGCTTTAAAACACCACCTTATTTATTCCACTTATTTCTTTTTTTTTTCTTTTTGTTTAAACCTCATCTTGTTACAATCCAGCAGCCAAAAAACATACGAAACACTTGTAACGGTTTCTCTGTGGTTTTTAATCAGGAGCGTACATTCGCGCCCAGTAGGCAAACTGTGTGCAGGCGTGTCGCCCCGCAGGCTTTCTGTTTACATTTTAGGCAGCAGTCGGTAGAGTTCGGATGAGCCTCTCTTAACAAGAAGTCCTTTTAGGCGTTTCGCATTCATCTCTGGAGCAACACCTGCCGTTTTCCCTGCTGCTATTCTGGAGCAGCTCCTCTAAGATCCGCGGCTCGGCTGTCACTGGCTCCTGCTGCTCAGCGGCCCGCTGCGGGGGCCGACAGAGGCCGGCGGCTCCCTCTGGCAGCCGCTGTCTGCGTGATGGCTGAATCTTAGCTGCCCAAAATGACAACAGCTTCTTTTTTTCCCCCCCGACTCCTACAACTCCCGTCCTGGCAACGTTTGGAGGATTTATCCGTGAAACGGAGCCTGAATACTACGAGTGACCTCTCTGAAACCGCTGCATTGTCAGAGCCGTTCACAGTTTGAAGGTAAAACCGCAACTCTGAAGCTCGTAGAGCTGTTCGTCTTTACAAGTAGAAACACTTTCATGTGTTAAATCAGAGGACACTCTTCCATTTAAGAGCTATATTTAATTATTCATAATGCTTTAGCTAATTGTAATCTAAAGGGAGGAAAGTAAAAAAAAACTAAATCAATTTGCCAAATTACAGTGCCTTGCTTCCACTTCACCTTGAGCTTTGTGTTTAGAATAAAGTAAACAGAAATTGTTTTCGAACTTGCAGCTCCCAAACAAAGAACTCATGCGCTTGTTTCATAAGCACCTGGAAGAAAATGTCTGAAAAATGAGATGCACCTTTTAGAGGAAACAAACGCAGGGAATGTGCAGCACGCATTTGATGTGTGGAATCTGGAAAACCTTTAAAAACTCCTCAGGGTCTCTCTGTTATCGAGTGAGCCTTTCAGATCTGCAGGGTGGATAAATCACACGCCTAACTTTATCTTATACACTTTTATATCAAACTTATATTCTGCTGAGGTGACGTTTTAGCATTTTTTTTTCTCCAACAGTGCGTCCTGCTGTTTAGGGTTAGCATGGCTAACCACCGCTGCTAACTTCTTCACTAGGGTCACTGTTGTTGGGAGGCTTTCCGCCGTCCCATGTCGATGCCGGGCAAGACATTTTCTTTCCGCTTCACATTTATGTCCGGCTACATAAAATTCCACTAAAATGCTGAGTGTGGAAAATGTGGACAAAATGTGGAAAAGTTCATGGGTTTAAACACACAGCTTAAGCATAACATGGCATAGCAAGACAAGATGGAGGCCTTCTCTGCGTTTCTCATTGCAGATCTGACTAGAGAAGAAGAATCTCGACATTCTTTCACAGGCACATTTAACTCAGGTGAGTGTTTGCATAGAAATGGCCTCTAATGCGCGCTGAAATATTCATTGTCGTCTCATATCAATTCTGAGCTCCCCCGACGCCGGCTGAGCCCATTTGGCTAAACAAAATAATTTCCTGTATAATCTCAGTCACACTCCACAACCCCCGCTGAATCATTTAAGAGCCCGTCTCGTTACAGATCAGCAGCCTGTTCGCAGCCGAATCCCGACGTCGTTTCTTTTTCGAACTCCGGTAATTTGACAGGCTTTTTGATAAATACCTCAGGCTGTCAGATGACCTTCCCCACACCATCCTGTCTTGGTGCGTTTTCGCTCGCCTGTCTAAGAAATGCATCAAAGTGCTTTACTTGGCTGACATGAGTTAATGGGCTATTTTAAGCTCGCTGTGGCTGATAACGCGGTAAATTGTCCTTGTCTTAATGAGCCAGTTTTGCACTATATTGTCATGGATAATCTATTATCTACAGAGGCTGCAGCATCCTCATTAGTGCCTTGTGCTTTGTTTAGTATAATTCGCCAAGAAAAGGAATTTGCCCGGGGTGATCTTGGCGTTAAATAGGCAACTGTAATCAATTAGAACAGCAACACCGGTGAAAAGCTCCCTTGATTTTCTATTATTTTTTCAACTTACCTTTTTAAATTGTGTTCATATTATTTAAGACTCTAAAACGATGCCCAATAACAATATGTTTGTGCCGTTTTTCTCTGTTAGAAGCAGAATGTTGCTCTGCTTTCTAATACTTTCATTATTTATTCCATCATTGTCTCAATTGATGGAATTATTGTCCTAATTATGTATGTCAGTTCTTGCAGTCAGGGACCAGAACAGCATTTGAGGAGTGAGAGACTGAGTTGATCCCAAGTTTGGTTCAGATAAAGCAGGATGTCTTTCTCGGTTTATTGACATTTTTGACTAATTTCTTGCAAACTGAAACAGACAGTCAATATAAAATCTACTCTGACTAAAGCTGAAATATGAACATACTTCTGCTTAGTTTTGTAGAAAAGAGGTCCTAACCTGAGACCAAGTCAGGATCAAGATCGGAGTATATCGAGACTGAGACAACGGCAAGACTTTTAGGGAAGAAATAAGCGGGAACTACTAGTGCTGTAAAACATATATTACCTTTATACTGTACACAGGTAGCTCATTATATAAAAAAATATTGACTAAATCTTTCTACGTGAGGGCTGGACAAAGGATTTTGGTACAGAGGCCGATTGCTAACATTATCTAGCTAGCTTAGCTAGCATCCCAGGTCTTACTTCTCTTTGTGTTTCCTTTCTAAGTGATGTGTTTTTCTAACGTTTTTCATCTTTAGGGGTATATTTGTTTATGTCGTCGTGATAAATTTTTTAACTAGCAACAAAAAAAAAACTAATGTTAGAAATAACTTCTAAATGTTTTTAACCTTCTTCACACAAAAAAGGGCGTTGGGTGCAGCTCTAAGACTCAGCATTGACTCCCCCAGGCTGTGTGTTTAGCTCCCTACCTGTTAGTATCCTCGCCGCCCCAACCAACCAGGGAAAACAAAACATATTAACGCACATCAAGAGTGTATCAAACAGTTACAGGGATCAGACTTGGCCTGTTGAAAGCACAGACATGACAGAAAAGCTCCAGTGAAGTCTTTACTTTCCATCGCTCTTCAGGAAGAAGCGGCTATCCTAGAAGCTGCTCCTGGCCGTTAGCAACTGCTGCGTGGAGAGTGTTTTCACACACTGCGAGTGTGTTTAATTTGAGCGCTAGCTGCACTGTTGCAGAGAAAAAGGCACTCCAGAGGGTTATCACCACTGCCTGGAAAATTATTGGCTGCCCCCTTCCCAACCTGGTTGAACTCTATCACTCCTGCTGTCTCAGTAAGGCAACAACAAAAAAAAAAACTTAATGAAAGACTGATACATGGTCTGTCTCAGCCTCAGCTGCAGGACAATAAAAAACAAGAACAAACAGGTTTAAATACAGCTGAGACCCAAAGGCAGTTTGTGCACTGAGTAAGTAGTACAAATGACTGTTTGCAGAATTTGTGCAATAAGTAAAAACAACAACAACTGTGTTTTAAAACCTTTTTCTTTTATTGTAATTAGATTTTTGTTTCACTGGAAATTATGTTTCCGTAACATGTCTGTATTTTAAGTTTTGTTTTATACTGCAGAGAGTGCACTTCAGTTGCACTGTTACTGAAATGACTGTGATGATAAAGTATTGTTTTGTATTGTATTGTATCTTAACTTGTTCTCTGAGATTCCCGGACAGGAAACGCAACCTGGACAGAATCAGAATCGGTGTTGTAGCATTGCTGCGTTACTGTCATTCAGCGCAGATCTGATTAAAAAAAAAAAAAAAAAAAAACAGTGGAAAACTTTGCGCAGCATTCGGCTCAGACCTGTAATTAGTCCGCACCACCACAGCTGCGTACCTAACACATGCAAACACACACAGGTATCTGCTGCTCGGAAGAAGGTAAAAGCAGCGACTATAGATCTGGCAGTAGACTCTTTAAATGGGGAACATTAATCAGCACATAACCGGCAAGATCAGAAAGAAACTTCACTGAGGTTCGAACTCAGTATCCAAAAATAACAGCTCTTGCATGACAGCATCTTAATACTCATATTTCCTGCTGTCAGTCAGGGCTAGATGTGTTGATCATGCATGCCATTAAAATTAGAAGCTTAAATTTTAGATTTTAGTGCTCTATATATGTATGGTGCTTGTATCCATCAAGCAGAATAAAATAATTGATTGGATTTTTTTTTTTTTTTTTCAGGTCAGATGTACCCATGGTAAGCTTGATGTGATCCAACGGGATGCTTTTAAATTCTCACTGATGTTTCCTGGAAAAGTTCTGCAGCCGCTAATACTACCGCCGAAAAGGATGTACATAGAGGTAAAATGAGCTAAAGGCTGCCGCTTAGCCTGATGCCACTGTAGAGTAATAAATGACCATTAACGCGATAGAAGGAGGAAACGCATTTTACAAGTTGAAAATATCCAAGAAAGTCAATTAGGTGAAAGAAGTCAGAATGTAAACAGATTTGTTCCAGGAAAAGTTATTTTCTTCATCATTCGCAGCATTCCCAGTCATAACTTTGGCGTCATCAGAGCCAAACTAAAAAATACTTTAGAGTCTGTTTCAAAATTCGACAAAAGTTTTTTGTCTGTTTTTTTTTTTTTTTTTTTTTTTGTGCACCATAGCATTTTCTGAAGCTAGTTTCAGGACTGACTCTTGGGGATTTGTGATGTCATCAACCCAAATACAATAAAACCGAAGAGCAGAGCTGTTTGCATTCACACAGACTCTCTTTCTTTCACAGTCCAAGTCGATGTGAAACATGAAAGAAAAAACTCAGATTTATGGCAAAACCCAGATGGACAGAATGCGTATGTGCAGCAGGTTCCGATTTTTTTAAGCATTGTATATGCAAATTGCAGCTGCAGATCTTGATAGCTGACAAAGGAAAAAAAAACACGTCAGACAACAGGAGTTTTTACTTATAGATAGATGGTGAGATTACTCATCAAAAAGCCTCATTCATGAGGGATTATACAGCCGTTAGCATCACCAGTCGTCCAAAGCCTGCACGTTGGATTGGAGGATAGGCGGATGGATGGATGTTTTGTTTTAAAACTCTTTAAAGCGTAAAGCCCAAACACATCTTCCACTACTTATTTTACGTTTATGCAGGGCTCAGGAGTTTCCAATTGTCTTTCAATTGTTTCTTAATGAAGCTGAAAACATATCAAAACACTTAATATCCTAGAAGGGGTGCTTGCTGGGTAATGGTTTCTGACAAGGGGTTTTTCTTTTCCTCACAAAGACTTCTCCTTCAGCACACAAAGCCCACGGCTGCTCTTTTAATCAGCAATTCTTTAGAATTGTCTTTCGGGATCATTGACCGGCACGCTCCGTCCAATAAAAATGTTTGACGTTTCAATAGATGCAGCCGAGCAAAGCGCATTAGTTCTGCAGCATTCCCGCTTTCAGACGCAATTACAGAACAACAGGGGCGGAAAGCAAATTGACAGTGCAGGAAATCATTCATTTGAAAGGTTAAATATACCATGTACAGTGTAGCTGAAGCCTGTCTGAGGAGCCCTAATGAAAAACTGAAAAGAGAGTTTTCAGCGGCGGGAATTCATGGCGAATAGCCGTCCTGCGTTCTAAAAATGAGCAATCGGAATAAGCTGTAATTCATAACTTTATCACCATCTCTGTTGTATTTATTTTTTTCTTTCCAGTGAGCCGTGAACACCACTAGCACAACTGAAAGGAAACCGTCCATTATCTACTTTAGGATGCAGCTTTATTTAATTAGGCAAGATGTTCACTGTGAAAGAAGTGCCTGAGCAGACTTTCGTGATGCAGCTCTGAGAAATAATTAACTTAATCTGGGTCAGAGACAACACATTATCATCAGCTTTTTTTTTTTTTTTTTCCCTTTTTTTTCCAAAGGGCAAACCCCTTAATTTTCCCCACTGCTTCGCAGACAGAACAGAGCCTGAAACATTTGGAAACCGCGCCGTAACGTTCATGAAAACACACAGCTTCAGACCGCTTTATTTACTCTCCAGTGTAACAACAAAGTTGACAGGAGGGGTTTTAATAAAACTATTTAGCATTTTTGTTGTTTACAAATGTTAGCAACTGTGTCCTTGATAAGAATGCAAATCTCCCAGAGGCTTATAATGTATGTAATTATTCATCTTGCGAATAGAAATACAGCTAAAGATATGTGGGCATATTGCAGATGTGTAGCTACTGTCAGTTTTTTTTTACTTTTTTTTTTTTTTTTGCAACAACAGGACAAAATAACACAAAATCCTAAGGTAACAATATTCTAGATCTGAAGATATTGACCAATATCACCAGAAAGTCTTGGATTGAGCTTCTGCTGATTTGAAAGAAATATGTCAAAAATAACTACGACAGACTGGCGACCTGTCCAGGATGACCCTGCCTCTTGCCCAGAACGATAGCTGGAGATAGGCACCAGCAACCCTCCGACCCCACTAGGGACAAGGGTGTAAGAAAATGGATGGATGGATGGATGGATGGATGTCAAAAATAAATAAAGCAGTTGAAAACTGATAGCTTTTTCAGAGCCATCACTAGCTGAGCATGGGCGAGTTTTTTTTTTTTTTTTTAAAGTTAAATTGTCGTAGACGTTTGCATTAGTGAGGGTTTCGCAAACATCTTTAAAAAAACCATAAACTGAAACCACATGTTTATTTCTGAGTAAATATTTTTGAAAACGATGCTCTTGTCCTCTCCAGTGTCGTTTCTTTTACATTTCCAAAGGTTTCACGTTTAATTTTTCTCCCAAGTGGTTTTGCTGATACGCTCACTCCTCAGATGAAGGAAGCAGATTTTCCAGAGAATCTCTAGCTAACTTTAGAAATGAGTATGAAAAAAAAAGATGAGGGAAAATGACTAAACTTTGGAATAAAATCTGAAATAGTTTAACTGCAATGAAAGCTGTTAATAGCGCATCATTACAAAACATTTTATCTTTTCAAGTTGCTTCGTTGTTTTTGTAGGCACTAGTTTTCCAAACACAGTCCTCTAGTAATGTGTTTTACTGAACTACTTGTTTCTGAAAGTTGAACCTGTTATTCCTGGGGATCGTTTTCTTGAAGCAGAGTAAATAAAGCAAACCTGTCAAACTTACCAAGGCAAAGCAAACCAATCTATCTTCTTTTGGCAGTCGGGGTTAAATTCTTTACCCTTATTATATTTTCTCCTCCAGTAATTGCCTTTTCTTCCTATTTCTCAGGCTCTGTAAAGGGAATTGATTAAATTGTGAGTCTCGGTGGCCCGGCAGGAAGAAAAAAAAGGGTCTGAACCTCAGTCAAGGAAAACTAGAGTAAAGCCCCAGGGGCCAAGTAAGTCTGGCATATAATGTATCTTTATCCATGACTAATAACACCATGTCTGTAGCGCTCACATTGCAGCTCAGCCCTGTTGCTAGGTGTTGCTAAGCACAAAAAGTAAATCAATGCAGCCTCAAATCAGTCGGCGCGTTTCTCGTGTGATCCGAAGATGCCAGGCTTTAATTTCTAATCCTAATTTTCCTCTCTAGGTACTGGCTTTAATTGAATGCCAGGAGAAATTCCCCCCATGTGGATTTCAAGACATTTTCTACCCTCAACATTTCTCCTGCCTCCATCAAATCTTTACTCCCTCTCCGTCTGCACAATTATTGTCTAACTTCTGCTCCGAACAAAAGTTTTTAAGCCAATTCCCTTTTAAGAGAAAATCAATCAGTCAGAGTTGGATTCCTAGAGCAGAAGAAAATTAAATAATTTATGTGTGAGCTGAGGGAATGAGCCTGTCCAATTGCTTAACAAGGTGTCGTTTTATATTCCTGTGAGGTGGCTGTGTGTCAGAGTACAGATAACCTTTTCAAATACCAATTTACTTTTCCCAATTACTTAGACACACTCAATTAGCTGAATTACCAACTTTATGTCACCTAGTTTCTCTGACACACAGTGTGTCAATGATCCCACTAAGAAGTAGGCGAAAAATACCAGGGGCCTTGTGTAAAAAGTGTGCACAAAAAACTGGTGTTTTTGTTTGGGGTTTCGTGTAAGTTCGGACGCATCAATAATGTTCTGATCTTAGAGATTAACTGAGACCAACGCCAACCTCAACACTTAGTGTACGGGAAACTGTCAATGTGAGAACACACACGGCTCTCACCAGAAAACACGTGATGAAAAATGCAGACGTGTACCGTACGCGTCTGAAATCAGAGAGGACAAGAAGAGGAGGCGCACCGACACAGCTGCTGATCACACTGGAGTCCCAGCAACATTTCAGAAGGAGCTCAGTGGAAATGAAGGGATTTTAATCTTGCAGATGTGTTCCTTTCACAGATATGTCATTTTTAGATTTGCCAGGGGTAACCCAAGGTATCGGGGAGAGAATCACTGGGAGAAATCATCATCTTTGATTCGGATCAAGACTAGAGCCGGGAGTTTAAAGTGTCAGTTAAACGCTAGAAAAGACTATTGTTGTGTTCGAGTTGTGCTTAAAGGAGTTAGCCTATCAGCAAAGCTATTCAAGCCCAGAATAGCATCTCAATGCTCAACATGCTGCAGACGTCCGCAACGCTGACGTCAGCGTCCACACTTCACATTTCTAAAGAAGTGTTTTTGTTTTTTCTTTTTTTCAGAGAAGCTACATGAGTGATCAGATTGAAACACTGAATAAGCCCCGTGCTTTGTGTTACACCTTCGAAAGATTCAAGTCGTAACGCGCCCTCTGACCTCCAGCCCATGTCTTTTACAGAAAACGTGTTTCTCCAAGAAACATAATCCAAGAAAATTAAACGCGTTTTAAACCCTTCTTCTTCCTGATCCTCACATTTGAAACAGACATTGTCAGAGGATTTACTCATCAGGACATTCAGCCGTTGCATCATGTAATCATCTCAGATCCACTTAAGCCGTGGTCCAGTCTGGGAGGAGATTCTTTCACCCACTTCTCTATTACATCTGATACTTATTTAAACCGCACGCACAGCTATTATGCAAGTCTTATTTCTGAGGATTATTGTTATTAATCACCAGGTGTAGCGCTCCACTTTAATCCAAAATATTAATAAACCTCAAACATGGATGTTTAAGGAGGCAGTATTTTGTAAAATATAATTTTTTAAACTTTATATCATGTCATGTTATTCCTTAATCTAAACATTACCTGGAGCATTGCCTTGATTCTTTCATGTGTGTTTGAGAAATCCTTAAATCACCCGTGGCAACCATTCAGCTGTGCAAAACACCCAGATTGGACGGAGCATCGTCTTCGAGTCGCAGCGCCCCCCCACCCCCTCCCCCACTGCAGTTTCTGAGTTTCTGTCTCACAGAGTAGTCCTCCCTCCCTCAGCTCCTTCAGACTAGCCAGCAGCAATTAGCAAACACCTGTTGGAACTGAGCTGAGCTCTTTATAGGAGCTACTTCTCAGTGAAACGCAGGTAAAAAAAAAAAAATAATAGTTGTTAAAGGATTAATAGCTGTTGTGATGTTGAGTGCAAAGTGCTGGAAAGAGCAAGACTTTCTTAAAGAGACAGAGGCCCGATTTTAACCCAGACAGATCACCAGTCCATCAGAGCAGATGGAAACCCAAACGTTTTCTTATGTTTATTCAGGCATGAAAAATCAGTTTTTTCATTAAGCTCCCATGGTCAGTATATTATGGTTTCGGTTTACTGTCAGACTCTCTTTTCTTATCAGTCCTGTTGATTCAGACTAACACAGTTCCTTTATTGTGCTGCATATGCAGAGGTTGCTTTTTGCTGACGGAGTTCAGCAGTCAGATCTAAGCAGCAGAGCCTTTGAAAGATGACCCAGTTGTTTTTTCTTTCTTTTTGTCAGATTTTCTCTGTGCATTTCTGATGCAGGTTTAATAAAAACAAGCTGTCAAAGCTGAATGCGAAGCAGAGTTACTGAAGTAGGCAAACAGCGAAACAGGGGGAGTGGATGACGAGGCGAAAAAAGCCTTTTTTATTTTGTGAAAAAAATAAAATAAAATGTATAATCAGCGTATATTCGCCACAGCACCTCTGTGTAAGTGTGAGAGTGTATGTTGAATTCAGAATGAATAAAGTATATGTAGCTGTTTCCTGCTCCACATCAACTGAAAACTCAGAAAAATATCCTCAAAGAAGATCAGGAACTCGTACGGCTCACACGAAGGCAGACGGGTTTTAACGAAAAGCCAAAGACCAGGGTCATGGGCCTGGAACTCCAATAAAAAGGTGGCTTCATATTTCATATTCATAAACCTGGAGCTTTTAAAGCCGGATGCTGAATACCGGATGCCCTCCTGCCGAGCCTCTGTTCTCAGATTATCCCAGTGTCTCTGTAACCCGGGCGCCAGCCAAGCAATTTATCCATGGAGGATTGGGAGATGTGTCGCCTTGTCAGAATGTCACCTTTTTCCCTTTTTTTTTTTTTGCTCTCGCGGCTCAGTCTGCGAAGCTCGACTTCACACTCCCCACAATTCTCTTTCATGCATTTCGAGTGCTTTTATTTTTCTCTTTTCACATTATTCTCCCTTTTCATGGTTCTGAGATCAGACAACAATTGTTTGCTTCTGTGATTTCTTGACGTGTTCTGTGCTACATCACGCACCAGCTTCACTTTCAATACATACCAATAATATTTTCTTCCTTTTTTATTTTTCTTTCCTGTCCTAAGAAGTTTATCTCACTCAAAACCATCAGCAGTCCTCATCCTCTGAGAGTCGTCTCCAAGCTCAGAGAGAGTTATTCAGACCCAACCTTCCACTGACTGCAGCTTTTTCTCCTTTGACACATATTGTTGGAACTGAAACACACTTCCTTTGTCTGGGACGTCTGAATTTTCTTTTTCTGCCTCCCAACCATAATTTTTTAATGAATCTGTCACCTAATGGTAGCTGATGTAGGCGTTCAGGATTTTGATGTATGATACCCAAACTGAGACTGACAGGCTTTGCAACTTTGGAAGCTTTAAAGTTTTGTGTTCAAGTTTTTCCAAATTTAATGTAAGATATTTAAAGTAGTAGGCAATTTGGAAGTGTCACCTAGACAATGTCAATCAACATCAATCAATAGGAATTTTGTGAAGATGTTGTCTGCATACATTTACTCCCGCCCCCTCCCACAGTCTTCTTGGCAGATCTTCTCAAGCACAGTTTGGTTGGACAGTTTTTAGGTCTGTGCAGAGATACTTAATTAACAACACACTACACACAAACTGATTTCACTCACTAACATTCAGAGGTCAGATGGAAAATCTTGCAAAAACTGTTGAGACCAAACAGGAGCTCAGCGTGAACAAACGTGGTCGACTAGAAGGAAGCACTGCTGATAGCTTGTGGAATACATATATATATATATATATATATATATATATAAAACACACACACAAAGATGTGACGCTCACCAGACTATCTGGTTTTGTTTTGTCTTATTAAGAACTCCTCCTCCTTGTCTACATATCACACTGAACAGGTTGGGTTCTCGTTTGTCCTCGGGGAACAGCCCACACATTGCGATATCGGGACAAGACAACGCAGCACGTCGAATATGGTCGATCGAAGTGGTCAGATCCACTCTTAAAGCACCACACATGGAAGAATCTCTTAAGATTGTAAGAGTCATCCCGATAATCGGGCTGTCCTTAACATTGTTGAATCGGCGAAAAAATCTGCCAAAAAAAATTTCATGTGAACAGCAGTTTCTGATGAAGACTCTTCATCCTCACCTGCATCATCCAGTCGCCGCGTCACGTTTATCTGCCGCCAGCCTGTCAGCATCGGACCATGCCCCGTCACAGCCAATCACCGATCTAGCTCCTGTTTATAAGGCCCTTCAATCACGGCATCATCCGCTCTCCAGCCGTGTTCAACCCACCTCCACCTCCATGTTCCTGGCTCCTCCAGGCCTCCATCCTTTCTCTGACCACCAGTGTACGGGGCCCCAGGGGAAGACATCTCAAATCAGCATAGCACATGCTCATCCAAGCTTACTGCAATTTACAGCACGGTTCTGAGAGCCAAAGAACTTTAATTCATCTAGTCAATAAAACTTCTTAATCGATGAGTCTCTCCAGATTGAATTTATATTATGTGTTTTTTTTGGGGGGGGGTTTGTAAAAGAGTTTTGTGTTTACCTCCTAGAGTCGGATTAGACGCCTCATCTCACCTTGCCTTATTTATTTTTTCTATATAAACAATAAATTATTGCAAAGTCCATTTACCACTAAGTGAAACACACTAAACAGATTAATTAGCTGCATGGTTTTATTTATGTTCATTATAATGATTTTCCATTTTCAGCTAATAAAAATGTGATACTTAAAATTAGACCAATAAAAAAACAGCATTTCCAATACAGAAATGTGGGCTTGATGAAAGAATGCTTGACACCAGCTTTTAAGATGCTACTTTCAAAAGACGCTTTGAATCTGGCAAACACGCCTCATCAGAGCGCATATTCTAATTTATTGAATACGACTGCATGGCGTTAAAATTTCATAGTGTTTCTTTTATTTGATCCTGTTCATTTGTATTTGTGCAAACAGGTGAGAGAAGAACTTTAAAAAAATGAATTACAGAAGCACGCAAGTACGAGCATAATTTTTTATTTTTTTTATTTTATTTTATTTTTCACTGAGCCTCTCGCATAAAAAGACATTCAAACTCCTAGTGAGAAACACTGTCTCTGTATGTTCTATTTTCAGCCGAACCGCCATTGTTTGCAAAGACACCATTGTCTGTTTCACGTTTGAAACGGGGCACACACATTATGTAATGTCTCAGTGGTGGAGCTCTGATGATGGTTCTTCTCCCAGTAGGAAAATCTGTGGCAGATCCTCATCCGTCGCGGCTCTCAACTCAGACAACTGAAGATGTGTCCAGGAGTGAAGGACTAAAGTCAATTTGGGGACAACAAGCTTCATAGCCTGCTTATGTTTTTTTTTTATTTTTTTTTTAATTTTTTTTTATGCCTTTTGCTTCACACCAAACCAACTGTTATTTGGCATCACATCGGTGTTTGTGAATTGTTTTAGAAATTAAATCCTGTTAGCCTACGTCACCTCCTGCATATTTAACGCAGCCCTTTCAGGTTTTATTGGTTGCAGTAAAAGCTAGTCTGTTATTAATAGAGGAGATGAGTAAAATGCTGCCGCGCGTAACGCAGCGTTTTCGAAAGGTTCGGTCCTAACGGAGAGATGAAAATGTCAACAGCCCTCACGTCGCTCGTTCAGGCATGAAGCGGCTTACTGGAGGTGCCTGTGCGGATGTTTTAAATTAAGCGTTTATACTTCAGTCCCGACAAGCCGGACCTTTATACACGTTATTAAAAGTGGACTTGATGAAACATTTTTATCGTTACTTTGTAATTCTCCTTGATAGTTATTTCCGGTCCTTCAACCCGACCATGAAACGTGGCGCGCTGTGTGTTCACCAGGAAACAGGAGGACAAAACAAGAGGTGTCACACTATCCAAAAATATATACATCTAAAAGTCCTGCCTTTTAAAACCACTGGACTTGAGAAGCAAATTATTCTTCAGTTTCTCATCTTAATAAATGTAAGGTTTTCATCTTATAGTCCTCCTTTTTAAAGACAGGGAATTTCTTGTGCCCACGTTTTATGCGCAACGTTTCAAAAAGGCAGACGTTTATGGCGGTGTGACAATTCCTTACTTTTACCATTTTATGCTTGCATGGAAACCTTTGCATTTGAATGCAAACGAATAAATAGGTTATTATTGGATTAATATTCACTGCAGCAAGCTGTTGACTCCTGAATATCTCCAGAAGGTAGATTCTCCGCTTGCTGTGGCCCGGCTTCCATCTAGTGGTGAAACTCTGCAGATACAAAAAGAGAGAGGAAAAAACAAATCCATGGATCTACTGTCTTTATAGTGTTTGTGAATCCTGGCCCTCATGATCCACTGATATCTACGTTTTAGGTGCTTCCCTTCCTACAAAGTGGGATCATCGGGCCTCTGATGCGTTTTGTGGCATCCCGAGGATCAATGTGTCACCTGACCAGAACTCACTTACCAGTTAGCTTGTCTCTGTCATAACAAATTGTATCAAATAAAAACTGTGTGCTGCCCTCATTGCTCTACGCTGGTTTTGTAATCAGTTAATAACCTTCTTCACATCAGAGATGACTCCTCTACAGGTTTACTGACGAAGCAAGGGAGGTGAAACTGAAACAAAGTGCAATTACTCTGTGCTTGCCTCAAGTAAACTCAGTAAAAGTGAAATAAGTAACTTTTTTCCTTTTTTTCTTTGTACTGTCTATCTGAAGTTGTTTAGCACATGAAATATGTTGACAATGTCAATTCACCAGCAGTAAATATTTTTTCACAAAACATTTCCCTAAAAGTTGTCAATAAAAATGACAAAGAACATAAACATATCAATACCATGCACATTTGCTGTCTGATTACCTCATACTATATCCTGTGTTACAGCATCTTGTTACTGAGTGTTTCTCAAAGTGACAGCACCATTTTAATGAGTTTTAAAGATGATGTTTTTACTCCTTAACCTGCAGCAAAACGCCCGCTTGTTGTTTATCACATGAAATCCCAGTAGATCACATTGCTTATGGTTGCGATGTGTCAAAATGTGCAAACTGCAAATTAAATGAGTGCTTTGGCAAGGCCCTGCAGATCGACCACATGACAGACAGCAGTTAGACAGTCTCAGACCTTTAAAAACAAGAACCAGTTCTGTGTGTCATCAGAACAAGACAAAAACAAAACCGTCACTTTTGGCATCCGCAAAGGAATCTCAAAGTTTGGAGAAATCGCGTCATAGCCGCCCCGTGTGTGTGTGTACGCTGCGTGTGCGGCTATCGGCGAGAAGAACATGAAGCAGCGGGGGCTCGGCTACGTATATATAAAGAAAGGAATCACTCTGAAGACTGACTCATCGCCGCATATCATGCAAACACATGCTCCATGTCACATCATTTCTCGTATTTCTGCTTGTTTTCTTTTCCATCAGCATGGCAGCCTGAGTGTTAGGGAGGCGGGGCAGGCTGAGAAAAAAAACGATGCATCACTGACAGGCTCACAAGCTGGAGGAGTGAGGTAAGGCCTCAGATGAGTCACGAGTCGTCATAAAAAAAGGCTGACCTGTTAAAGCACTTCTCTGCAAACCAGCAGCAGTACAGTCCAGCCCAGGTGCCAGATTTTGATGAATCCGACTCAACATGATCGCCTGAAAGTTGAGATCTAACAACCAATTTTCATTTCTTAGAGCTCTTTCTAGTTCACACTTATTTCTTGAATTGCAAAATGTCACTACATATATATATATATATATATATATATATATATCAATTTCTATCATTTTCTAGCCAAGCCCTTCCTCACGTAATATTAAAATTCTGCTCTAATGAGACTGGTAAATGTACAGCACTGTGAAAACGTATTTACATCCCTTGAAATCTTTGATATTGTGCTACGCTACAAACAGTAATGTGTTTGGTTTGTATTTTATGAGCTAAACAAACATGTAGTGTCAAGTGACAAAGCAGAAGGAAAACTATATATTTGCTTTTCGAAGGGTTTTGAAAGTAAAACTCTTCACAGTACAGTGTGATTTTGTATTCAGACCATTATTATTATTATTTTTTTTTTTTTGCAAAGTAGCTCAAGTTCAGTCAACTTGGATGAAAAGTGTCTATAAATACCACTTTTTAAGTACTGACCCAGACTTGCAGGTGGATTTACTAGTTTGGACTTGTAAACCCTTTAGCACATCTGATCTAATCGCTTCCATTGCAGTTCTGGTCTTTTAGTGACATCATGCTGGAGGTGGAAGCTCCATCCCAGACAAGTATTATCCAGGATTTTCCTGCATCCCTGTATCTACCTTGTCCATGCTAAGGAAAACCATCACCACATCATGATCCTGCCACCACTGTGTTTTATTTTGAGAATTGTATGTCAATGGTCCGGTGCAGAGTTAGTTTTTTTTTTTTTTTTTAACCACACACAATTCTCGTTTGCACCAAAGAAAAATTGATGATCAACTCTTCATTGCTTAGAAGCATTGAATGCAGGAAAATGCATTATTGTAAGCTAGAATTACTGGTAAGTCACATGATTGCTGGATGCGACATTAAATTGGGTGGAATGCAGCACAAGCTGGGACTCTGGTCAGTTAACAAAATGGTTTTCATTTTCATCACAAACTCACGACTCTTCAGCCAAACTCTGTGGGATAACGTAAAACCAAGACAAACAATTTAAAAGACTTTGGAAAAGAAATATGATTCACAGATCATCACATCAGCTCACCGTCACTCCGCAGCGCTCAAGTGAGCAAATAAACTGGCACCGGAGCAAATGCAGCTCGAAAATTTTGAGCCAAAGAGGGAGGAGAAAGAGACATGCCGTCACTGAGCGCTGTCAGCCATCGCTGTCTCTCGCTGGTGATTCAAGCTTTCCCAGTGATTCACGTCTGTGCAGAGACTAAACAACAGGCCCAGAGTGTTGTCACTCTTCTTTTTCTCACCACCGACATCCTCCTGCTCGTATTATTTCGCCCCTCCTCTCCATTCATCTCTGTGTCCGTCTCCCCACTGCTTCCTGCTTGCTAATTGTTGCTGTGCCCACACACCCGGTTATTTTTCCACCGAGCGCGCACCAGCTCTCTCTCTCTCTGTCTCGAGGTCCTTGTTGTTAGACCTCCAGGACGTTCAAAAAAAAAAAAAAGAGAGAAAGAGAGAAAAAAAAAAACTCCTAACACACCCTATTCCACCTGCGGGCCGGTGCAGCCCAGCAGGGGATTTCACTGCGCTGATGACGGGGCGCACTCTTCCTTCCTGAACCCACATAAATCTGTCGATGGCTTCTGTCCTGGAGTCTAATATTAAAGCTGTTTTCCATCACGCCGAAGTGCAAGGAAGGGAAAGCTATTGTTAATTAGCATGGTCTGGTGTAGCTGTTAGCACTGGCCACGGCTGGGACTCACCCCTTGTTGTTTTTAAAGAGCCTCCATCCTGACAAGGCTGACTACTGCCGTTAAGGAGGATCATTGGTAATAACCCAGCCAGTCACGATGCATTCATTCTTCTTGAAAAGCACTGTTCACACTCTTTCTACTGCCCGCTGATTTATAGTTTGAACCTCTGCCACAGTTGTGCTCCTGCCTCTGTTGAACTGTGTGTAAATTCCACTTTGACTTCTCTTCTCAGAAAAATGACAAGAATGGACTTGCAAGGACATTTCCACCGAGCGAAGGACCTCTGTCATCTCACAGAATACGAGAAACTACCATCCTGAGGCTATAATCAAACACACACACAAACACGCACACATCTCCAAGCATCCTTGCACACTTTGCAGGATTTATGTTGGTTCAATCGTGAAACTGCAAAAAAAAAAAATGGAGGCAAAAGTCATTTAGATTAAACATTTAATTTCAGAGTTCAAAAAAGGGATGCATGAGTTATTTTGCAAAAGCAAAATACGCTTTAATGTATATCTTCAACACAAAACAACAGAATAAATACACTGACGGGTGCTGCAGTTCTGAAGATGAGGTTTCTACAAAATAAAACGCTCACAAAGCAGTTCTCTTCACAGTTCTCTTCATTTTTCAAGGTCTTACATCGAAGAATGTAACACAAACTTTGAAAACCACAAGGAATGACATTTATCTGACACCATGTCATCCTTTTCAACAAGCACGCTTTCTAACAGTTTAGATTAAGCGTTTAGAAATGCTGGCTCATAATACTTCCCCCCCCCTGCAGTCCACAGAGTTCAGTTAGCTGGTTCTGCGCCCAGTAGTCTCATTTCTGAAAGTCTGTTGCTGCTGTCCGGTTCTCTGGGCTCACAGTAGAACCCGAGTCTGTTACAGTATATCTGAGCACAGAGGGAAGCTGTGCTCTGGCTCCTGCATGTAGCTCACCTGCCATGGAAGCCCCAGAGTAGGAGGTGGCTCCACAAAACTGTCCACGTATCCCTGAGGACACGGGGTCCACATCCCCGCCTGATACCCCAACCCGTCACCCATCTGAGGGTATCGCAGCGGACTGGGTGGGAGATCGTCAGGGCTGTTGCAGTGTCCACGAGAGGCGTAAAAATGTCCCTCAGTTGGATAACAAGGGTAGTGTGGTGAAGGTGGACATGATGTTGCCCCATTATCCATGTATGCGTGTGGATCCGCAGACAGCCTGTGGAGGTGAGGCCCCTGTTGCGGCTGCAGCTGCTGAGAGATGGACGCGTGCCAGGGGACATAGTTTTGATGCTCCAGGCGAGGAACTGCAACTTTGGTCTGCTCCAATCGAGACCCTCCCACCACAGCTGGCCCTGCGGGCGACCTGTGGCATTCCCGGTGGCTGCACGGCTTGTTGGGAGGATTTGAACTCAGGAATACCGAGAGGGCAGAGATGCGGTTGATGGCCCTCTGCAGGGTGGCGATCTTAGACAACCGTTTGCCGCTCAGGTCATGATTCAGGGCAACTCGGAGAGCATTGAAAGCTTGGTTGTAGTCCATGATGCGCTTTCGCTCTCGCACATTAGCAGCCATTCTCCGAGCCTTCGAACGGACCGGTCTGTTGCGCTTCTTGTTCTGGCCTTCCTCAGGGTCGCTAGGACTGCCCTGGAAAGACTGTTTGACACCTCCATCGTCATCGCCTTGTCCCAGCACGCCGATCTCGAGCTCTTCCTCAGAAAACTCGGAACCGGTGACACTGCTGCAGCTCATTGTGTCAATAATGCGGACACCAGACAAGTCCCAGCAAAGTCTGAGAGCGGGATTCGTTGGTTAGAAGTTGCCTGCCTCATCAACGCGCTTCCTTGGCGTGTTCAGTGAGTGGGGCTGCCGGTGTTTGCTGCTGCCCAGGTATTCTCTCTCTGTCTTACTCCTCTGGTGCACCGTGGTTACCTTTACCTCAAAAAGACAGGTTGGTCTGCTTTTTAAAAGATCTTGGAGTCACATGGTGCAATCATTTGAGAGGAATGATGCACTCTCTCGCCCCTTCCAAGTTTATGGGCGCCCTGCAGGCAAATGGCACTGTCACCTCCTCCTCCTCCTGCGCTGACTCTCCCTCACATCTCTCATCGTATCATTCAGGAGAG